TGTCCCTGTCCCCATCCCAGGGGGACATTCCTGGTGTACAAGGACGGGGACGTTTCCCACCCCTCGGTCCGGGAGCGCCTCTGGCTCAACAGCGACTTCAACTTCGACAACGTGCTGGCCGGGATGATGGCCCTGTTCACTGTGTCCACCTTCGAGGGGTGGCCTGCGTGAGTCTGGGGGGGACACAGGGGGGACATGGGGACAGTGTGGGGACAGCGGGACCCCCAGGCCCTGTTCACAGTGTCCACCTTCGAGGGGTGCCCCGCATGAGTCTGGGGGGACACGGGGGACACAGGGGGGACACAGGGGGGACATGGGTGGGACAGCAGGACCCCCAGGCCCTGTTCACTGTGTCCACCTTCGAGGAGTGGCCTGCGTGAGTCCCAGGGCTGGGGGGGGACATGGGGACACAGGGGGGACAGTGGGACCCCTGGGATGATGGCCCTGTGTCCACCTTTGAGGGGTGGCCTGCGTGAGTCCAGGGGGACATGGTGAGGGGACACACGGGGGTGACAGTGGGACCCCCGGGCCCTGTTCACAGTGTCCACCTTCGAGGGGTGGCCTGCGTGAGTCTGGGGGGGACACGGGGGGGATTCAGGGGGACACGGGGGGGACATGGGGGGGACAGTGGGACCCCTGCGATGATGGCCCTGTTCACCGTGTCCACCTTCGAGGGGTGGCCTGCGTGAGTCCCGGGGCTGGGGGGGACATGGGGGGACATGGGGACACAGGGGGGACAGCGGGACCCCAGGATGATGGCCCTGTTCACAGAGTCCACCTTCGAGGGGTGGCCTGCGTGAGTCTGGGGGGGACATGGGGGGGGCAGGGGGGGACACGGGGTGGACACAGGGACAACAGGACCCCCGGGATGATGGCCCTGTTCACAGTGTCCACCTTCAAGGGGTGGCCCTGTGAGTCTGGGGGGGACACAGGGGGGACAGCAGGACCCCCAGGCCCTGTTCACCATGTCCACCTTTGAGGGGTTGCCCTGTGAGTCCAGGGGGGACACGAGGACAGCAGGACCCCTGGGATGATGACCCTGTGTCCACCTTTGAGGGGTGGCCCTGTGAGTCCAGGAGGGACACGGGGGGGGGACATGGGGACCCCCGGGCCGCCCCCCCATCCCCACGTCCCCCCCCCAGGCTGCTGTACAAGGCCATCGACGCCAACGCCGAGGACCAGGGGCCCATCTACAACTACCGGGTGGAGATCTCCATCTTCTTCATCGTCTACATCATCGTCATCGCCTTCTTCATGATGAACATCTTCGTCGGCTTTGTCATCATCACCTTCCGCGCGCAGGGCGAGAGCGAGTACCGCAACTGCGAGCTCGACAAGAACCAGGTGGGGGGTTGGACCAGGGCTGGTACAGGGTGGCCCTGTGGCCCTGCGGTGTCCCCAGAGTGTCACTGTGGTGTCCCTGTGGCCCTGGAGTGGCCCCGTGGCTCTGTGGTGTCCCCATGCTGTCCCCAAGGTGTCCCTGTGGCCCTACAATGTCCCCAGGGTGTCACTGCTGTGTCCCTGTGCCCCTGTTGTGTCCCCACAGTGCCCCTGTTGTGGCCCCAAGGTGTCCCTGTGGTGTCCCCAGGGTGTCCCTGTGGTGTCCCTGTGGCTCTGCAGTGTCCCCACGGTATCCCCACGGTGTCCCTGTGCTGGCCCCAGGGTGGCCCTGTGGCCCTGTGGTGTCCCCACAGTGTCACTGCCATGTCCCCAGGGTGTCACTGTGGTGTCCCCACACTGTCCCCAAGGTGTCTCTGTGTCCCTGTGGTGTTCCCACAGTGTCACTGCAGTGTCCCTGTGGTGTCCCCAGGGAGTCCCTGTGGCCCTGGAGTGTCCCCATGATGTCACTACAGTGTCCCTGCAGCCCTGCAGTGTCCCCAGGGTGTCCCTGTGGTGTCCCCATGCTGTCCCCAAGGTGTCCCTGTGGCCCTGTGGTGTCCCCATGCTGTCCCCACAGTGTCCCTGTGCTGTCCCCAGAGTGTCATTGTGGTGAGCCCACAGTGTCACTGCAGTGTCCCCAGAGTGCCCCTGTGGCCCTGTGGTGTCCCCACAGTGTCCCTGTGGTGTGCCCACAGTCTCACTGCGGTGTCCCCAGGGTGTCACTGTGATGTCCCTGTGGCCCTGTGGTGTCCCCACGGTGTCCCCACGGTGTCCCCACAGCATCAGTGTGTGGAGTGGCTGTGTCCCCCTGTCCCCCTGTCCCCGTGTCCCCCTGTCCCCCTGTCCCCATGTCCCCTGTCCCCATGTCCCCTGTCCCTGTCCCCAGCATCAGTGTGTGGAGTGGCAGTGTCCCCATGTCCCCATGTCCCCGTGTCCCCATGTCCCCATGTCCCCATGTCCCCTGTCCCATGTCCCCATGTCCCCTGTCCCTGTCCCCAGCATCAGTGTGTGGAGTGGCAGTGTCCCCATGTCCCCATGTCCCCTCACTGTCCCCCTGTCCCTGTCCCCAGCGTCAGTGTGTGGAGTGGCAGTGGGTGGCAGTGTCCCCTCACTGTCCCCACACTGTCCCCTGTCCCTCCCCCCAGCGTCAGTGTGTGGAGTGACTGTGTCCCTGTGTCCCTGTGTCCCCTGTCCCCTCACTGTCCCCATGTCCCCTCACTGTCCCCACGCTGTCCCCAGCGCCAGTGTGTGGAGTGGCTGTGCCCCCATGTCCCCATGTCCCCTCACTGTCCCCTCACTGTCCCCTGTCCCTGTCCCAGCGTCAGTGTGTGGAGTGGCTGTGCCCCCATGTCCCCATGTCCCCTCACTGTCCCCTCACTGTCCCCTCACTGTCCCCTGTCCCTGTCCCAGCGCCAGTGTGTGGAGTGGCTGTGTCCCCGTGTCCCCATGTCCCTGTGTCCCCATGTCCCCATGTGCCCTGTCCCCTGTCCCCATGTCCCCTGTCCCTGTCTCCATGTCCCCATGTCCCCTGTCCCTGTCCTCAGTGTCAGTGTGTGGAGTGGCAGTGTCCCCATGTCCCCTCACTGTCCCCATGTCCCCTCACTGTCCCCTCACTGTCCCCTGTCCCTGTCCCAGCGTCAGTGTGTGGAGTGGC